TTTTGTAGAAATAAAAATATCAATAAGAACACCGGATTATACATCTTGTTGTCCTTTTTTTTTATATATATATATATATATATATATATATATTATAATAAAACAAAAGAACAGTATATATATATATATATATATATATATATATATATATATATATATATACATTAATAAAAGAACAGTATATATATATATATATATATATATATATATATATATATAAAAATAAAAAAGAACAGTATATATATATATATATATATATATATATATATATATATATATATATATATATATATATATATATATATATATATATATATATATATATATATATATATATATAACTAAAAACGTAACGACCCAGAACCTATGTGCCTAGCTTTCACGTAATGGATCATCATGATAACTCTGGCTAAACGGGGTATGACATTTTATTGAAAAGACGACCACAAAACTAAAAATTATCATAAAAAGAAAAACTAAAATAATACAAAGGAAAATAAACGAGTGTGGGCCCACAGATTTTTTTTTTGGTAGAACAGCCATCTGAAAAAAAAAAACATTATTCAAGTAACCAGTGATTTTTTTATGCCTACAACCATTAAGTATTTCCGATTTCTGATTGCGTAAAATATTAGGTTTATTATACGACCCTTTATCTAATTTTTCTCAATACATAGTTAGCAAAACCTATTGTTATGAATAATCAAGGGTGGTCTCCCCTTGTTTTGCTACTCTCCTCTTTGAGAGAGATATTTCTGTTTGTTGGAACAATAAAAAGAACACTATAGGCGAACCTTTTTTTTCTCAGTTGTATAAAGCTTTCTTAAAGCCTACCCCTGAGTACTTTTGTCATTACACCTATCAACACTGTTAAATTTGCGGCATTTTTAATATACCCCCATTTTAATATTGGAAGTATGCTGTGATTTTTTCTAATTTCCTAGACATGCTTAGATATATTGGTCCTATGACTGTATATTTCAGGTGCGAAACTACTTCTATTATTGTAATATCTTTTTTTTTCATTATCCTTGGGTTAAAACCACGTTAACTTTTTTATCATTACAACTATTATTATTATTACTAATATCAGTTTTGTTGCTATACACCTCCAATTTATACACGATGCATTCATATTAGCATTTTCTTTTAAGAGTACATGCGGCTTTATTAACGAAGCTGCATTTGGGGTATTGATATGTTGTTTACTCTTTAACTCTTTAGTGTTGCATTTATTGATTTATTTGCAACGTTAAGCATGCAACTATAACTCAATTTAACGGTGTTTTTGTTAAAAAGTTTATGTCAATTGTTCGACGGGCGAAAATTCTTCTTTAATATTCTAAAGAATTCCTTCCTGAATTTATTACCTACGGCCAAATTATATGGCGGCTTGAAACATAGAATTTTCTTTGCTCTATTTTCCTCTGATGATGTACATAGAATGTTTTAACCGTAGTTTTATGAACGAGCTTTCTTTTCTAAGCACTATTTTGCGCCAGTTCATAAACGTGCTTAATTTTACTAAAGATATTGATATTAGAAGAATTGGCAGATAATATAAAAATGATGCTATCAGGGATATGTTTAAATATTTACCTATTGTAATTAGAAGCTACGTTGGTATAACATGCGTATTGATTATTTTTCTTAAATAGAGTAAGATATAAATAATCATAACATAATTTTATATATAGATTGCTTTATCGGACAAATATAAGTCAACACATATAAATATATGCATTTATGTGTGAGGAAGTATATATATAATATATATATATATAAAGAACAGTAAGATATATAATCCAGTGTTCTTATAGGTATTTTTATTTTTACAAAATAGTGCTCGATGTAAATTTACAGAGCATTAATATTTTTGAAATATGGTTAGAACTGTGTAGCGGAAAAACCATATTTTAAATCAATTAAATTATATATATATATATATATATATATATATATATATATTTTTTTCTCACACATAAAGGCATATATTTTAGGGATTTAGACAAATCATTATAGTAAATCATCGAATCTAAAAGAATCCTCAACAGAATGCAGAAAACACAGGATAGCCGTTTCGCCCTCTTTGGGACTCATCAGCAGTGTGCATCCACTACTGCTCTCGTCGTATCGAAACTGTCCGGATTCGAAACTCGGCAGTGGATGCGCACCGCTGATGAGTCTCAAATAGCGGCTGTCCTGAGCTTTCTGCATTCTGTTGAGGATTCTAGACTCGATGAATTACTATAATATATATATATATATATATATATATATATATATATATATATATATATATATATATATATATATATATATATATATATATTTTGCGTGTGTGCAACTAGATTTCTGAGATGAGATATTGTAATTATTTACTTTGTTCGGACTATTGCCATCATATTTATTGCCAAAATCACGACGTCTCAGTCGTTGTATGCCCTGGACTTATTCAGCTGGTTGGAATTTAGAACTGAACCTTTTACTTCATGGACACAGGTCACATAGGATAAAATCGTTGGTTCTTTGAAACGAAGAGTTGTGAGTTCAATACCTGGCTACGACAGTGCTGGAAACAAAATACTTGGAGAGTTGAGTTAAAGGGAGATAACTGAGACATCCGGAAGAGGCGTGACAGGTGGAAACAAAAGATATGAATAATACTTAACCAAATTTTACTTTACAATCTGAATTAGAATACTGTATACATTTTAAACTTTCGCATTATTTTTTTTTTCAGAATACGTTATTAAAGAGAACAATATTCAATATAACGAATAAGTTTTTTAAAAAATAAGTTAGGAGTGATATCGAGATAGAGATAACGGTAAAATAACATTAAAATTAATATTAACCTCCGAATTTTCATTAAAATAAGTTGGAAAATGGAATCGATGTTATTGCATATAACAGGTAAAAAAGAAGACCAGGTTTGAAGATGAGAGTTGATAGAAACCCGACCAATTCGGCGCCAGTCGAAGTTCCTAGCCTTAAGCCATCAATACTCCCCTGAGAGAGGTTGTTAATTTTATGTGTATTGTTTTTAGGAATGTGAACGAATATTTTAAATTTCTATATTATTGTGTTATTTTATTAATATTAATTATAAAGTATTATTAAAGATGTTAAGTAACAATGTCTAAAACAAATTAATGGATAAATAACAAAAGTAACAACAATAAAATCAAGATTATAATATATTACGGTTTAAGTTACAAAGTAAGAATAAATTAGAAAAATAAATATATATATATATATATATATATATATATATATATATATATATATATATAAGTACAATTAGGCTATATTGACGGTGGTTGCGATGCTATGTTTATAAACATAAGAGGATTCATTCGGAGATTAGAAATTTCTTTAGCAAGATTGTGAGTTTAATTCCTTTGTATGTTTACAATTGATTGCCGTTTTGTATCTCCGATTCAACAGACTGTCATTGTTCGAGTATTTAATTATTTATATTTTCTTCTGTAGGCAGAGAAAGCGCGATTCGTTTAGGGACATACCCAAAACAAGGTCCCTATATTCTAATGTAGCAGTGCATAATAAATGAAAATTTTTTGTTCTACTTTTGTATTGAGCTCTGTTTTAAATTAATGTTTTGAACGCTGAAATCTTACACTTCGTTCTTTTACATTTTAGTATATATATATATATATATATATATATATATTGATCTAATGGAATATGAGTACACCTCTGTTCCCCCTCACTGGAATATGATTGGCTGGTGTCCGTCATAAATACCGACGGACGCGTAGGTACGGCAGAGTCAAAAGCCTTAGTCTGAGTACTAAGTCTATAACAACGCCCATTGGACTACGCCATTGATCTTATCTGCAACTACGACACGTACCAGTCGACTACTGCTACCGTATTCTACTTGGTTATAGTAGCCAAAACCACTTAGCTACTTCGTTCAAATATATCCCTTTCCGGAACATATCAATATATATATATATATATATATATATATATATATATATATATATATATGAGGATGAGAACGAATACAGTACAATTCAACGTTCGTAACATTTAATTTAAAAGAAGGCTCAATATAGAGTACAGAATTATTATTTATTTCAGGATATTACGCCGAAAACATGTAAAAATCGCAACACAATTGCAGTCGTGTTTCAACTCATATCAATGCGTCTCATCAGGCAATTGTAAATTACTAGCACCCGAACGATTAATTTAGTTTTAAAAGCAAAATACAACTTTTTTCGAAAAAAAATCCTTTAACCTGATCAACTAATCAAATATGACCTACGTTAAATTTAAACCAAGCGAAGAAACCAAAATTAAAAATTATTTTTCATATAAATGGGTCATGACCCGTAGATTGTCAGTTAACAGCAGCCAGACATTAACTTAAAGCTGATACATATGGTTACATAATATATACAAACCAGACAATCCATTTTTCTAAGAAATAAAAGCGGGGTAGATAGTTAATTTAACTAAATGCTAAACAAGTTATATGTTTTGTGAGTTTCTTACATAAAGATATCTTTTGTAGTTGATAAATAAGTGACTTCTTTAAGAAACTAGTAAATAATTTAAACGTATAGAATTATTTGGTAAATTAATATGCAACTGTTGAATAAAGCTTTTCTTCATATAAAATGCTAGTAATACTAACCGATCAATATAAAATCTAAAAAAACAAACAATCTAATACCAATGCATCCGTACGAGATGTTACTGATAGTACAAGGAGATTAGTAGAAATAAAATATTTTTGACATTTTACTTTGACTGATAAGTGTTATTAACGTATTAGTGTACGTTTTATTTTGGCCATTAATATCTGTTACTTCTGCTTTATAGATAATTACTTCGCTTTAGGGTTGTATTCATTGAGTGTATTTTGAATATTTCATATCTGTTCATTGATTAGTTAATAGGTGCCTGTTAGATGTGCGTGTTTAGATTGTTGATTTGTAATTCGCTCTCTGGCTAGTATATGTTGAATGTTTAGCGTTCAGTCGCGCCATGATGACAACACGCCGATTCATTCACCACACTGGCTGAGTAAACGACTGAGGGGAAGCGGATGGTTCAAGTCCATTCGTGAGAGAGACAAGCAGACCGCCTGGAACGTTGAGGGTATAAATGGTGCGATCGTGCTCTCAAAGCCGGTGTACAAGACTTCATGCGAGTTAAATCTGACTTCGCTTGGAGCAAGATCGTCGCGGAAATGTCTGCGTGCGAAGGCGGTGCGTATGGTTCTGTGAGGACCGTCAGACGTCTATCACAATCCGTTCATATCTATCACAGTCTCAGCTAATCACATTTTCTGCTTCATACATATATCTATCTCAACCACATACCTTTATCCATCTATCTATCTTATATATAATATATATATATATATATATATATATATATATATATATATATATATATATATGAAAAAATATACGGAAAAAACAAACAGAAATCCTTATATACAATTATGCTGTTTTAATGTTAATATGTCAACCTCGGAGGTTTCAGTCTAATAAACCATCTTCAGAACATATTCATAAATATCTGTTTGGATAAGTCTTGTTCTTATGTACATCGTCTTTGTCATGTTGAATTGATAATGTTAATTATATCTTATGAATATGTCCTGAAGATGGTTTATTAGACCGAAACGTCCGACGTTGACATATTAACATTAAAACAGCATAATTGTATATAAGGATTTTTGTTTGTTTTTTCCGTATATTTTTCTTCATACTGTCGGATCTATATCCATATATTTTTTCATATATATATATATATATATATATATATATATATATATATATATATATATATATATATATATATATATATATATATATATATATATAATAATGAGATCACAACAGCAAAGAGTGATCATCATTTCAACTTAGAGATATATACATTCTTATTGTTCAAAGTATAGTATAATAGTGTTAAAAAAAAAAAAACAAACCCGGAGAATTCCAACAAGATAACCATAATCATTTCTGAGAGACAACGGTTCAAATCTTAATCTAAGAATTGGACAATTTTGCTGTTACACGATTTGGACAATTTTGCATGTAAGGCGGTATATATCTCAGTTCGTCTTCTACCTCAGCTCATCTATCTATCTATCTATCTATCTATCTATCTATCTATCTATCTATCTATCTATCTATCTATCGATATATATATATATATATATATATATATATATATATGCGTGTGTATGTGTGTGTGTGTGTGTGTGTGTGTCAATCTCAATCATTATTTATCTGTCTATCTATCTATCTATCTATCTATCTATCTCTGTTCATTATCTAAGAATCAGTGTATCTATATACCTGTCAGTCGGTCTATCTATCTCAATTCATTATCTATCTATCTAATCTATCTATCTCTCCCTGTTCATTATCTATCTATCTATCTATATATATATATATATATATATATATATATGTCTATCAATCTCAATTCATTATCTATGTGTCTATCTATTTCAGTTCATTATCTAACAATCTGTTTATCTATATATCTGTTTGTCTATCTATCTCAGTTCATTATCTATCTATCTATCTATCTATCTATCTATCTATCTACTGGCATGAAAGTGTAACGATTATATTGAATCAATTGCTAGGTCTCCTGATAGGAAAATTTGATTCACTGACTTTTGCTATATATGTTTTATCTTAGTCAATTTTGCACTGCTTTTGTAACCATAGAACCATACCTTAGTTTCCCTGTGCCTTTTCTAAAAAAAAAAAAAGAATGTATTTTCATGGTAATTCTTCTGATAACCGATCCTTCTTTGGTACCTCGACTTTACTAATGTAAGCGCAGTTCCAGATTTTCTTCCCCTTTCAGCCAATCCGTTCCGTTCCTGAAATATAGTGCTATTATATCATGGAGATAATAATGCCTATAATGAAGGAAATGGAAATAGGAGAATAAAACTTTCTTCCATAGCAATATCCATTATCATGACAGCTTTCATTCTAAAGAACCGCTAGCTTTTTAGTGGCCTTGTTTGGAGTGAAATGACTGAAAAAAATCTGAATTATAATCCGTATTTAGGCCTAGGGAATCATATCCCAATTCAGTCACGTAAAAGTTTATGGTGTTCTGAATCTATGATAAGGATTGCGGTCGCCTTGCTTGGGGTGAAATTATTTGAAATGGGGTGAAGTTTGATTCATACATTTTCCAAGAGTAAGTGCTAAGTGAATGAATCAATGGCCGTTGGCATTCCAGTTCTGGCGCCAATAATCTTTACACGCTCATCTCTTATGGAAAACATTTTAGGAGTTTTTTTTTCTGCGCAAAAGCATTGAAATGCAGAATTGTACTTTCTATGGCTAGGTTCAGGGAGCGGCAGAAATATCCCCCATATTTTAAAGGTTGGCAAAAAGACTATGGTAACTGCTATTAAAAAAATCACTGCTGTTTAAACAAATGTCTTGTCTTTATTCATTTCGTTTTAAACAAGACCGTCTCCAAATAGTTACCTCTATTTGCCCTACACAATTGTTGACCCACAGCAGTATCGACTTTATTTCCAGACCATCACCAATTCGAAATAACATGAAATTAGCATTAAAAAAATGTGTTGGAATTACAAATTACAGTAAGTGGGAGCTTAAGATATGGGAGGTATTTCTGCCTCAGACTGTATTAATTAAAACCTAATGAAGTAATCTATTTTTTAATTCAGCGTATTTTTTAAATAGGAAAAGTGAAACAGCATCCGTTTAAACTGCTATAGTATATTTTCACTAAAATATTTTTCGTATATATTGTGTTTTGAATGAACCTGATATTTTTCTCACGCAAAAAAATACTTTCCAGTTTTTAAAAGGTTTTATTTATAATATAAATACCATAGAAATTAGAACTCTTCTTTTTCGTCGTTATGATTCAAGTATTGAATATTTATAATGTAAATACAATAGAAATGAGAATTTCTTTTTATATTGGATATTTACTTTTTGTTTTTAGTTAATATCGTACAAACTTTTAAAGTCTAACAGAGCCAAATTTATACAAAAAATATAGCGTTTCTTTTATAGTTCATGTTACCAAAAGTCATTAAAACCCAAACTCTAACTTATGATCGTGTTGTATATTCGTGTGTTATATACATTCTCGTCTGCAGAAGAAAAACTTTTCATTTTTTTACCATTCAAACAACTCACCCGTATTTCTTGATGGGTTTCTCCTCAGTGCCTATTTTAGCGCGATAATAATCGAGTCCATTTTAATGATTTGTATTCGAAAAATTAAAGAGAAAAATAATATGAAAAAAAGCAAATAAAAGCTTCCTTGGAGAAACGATAGTTCTAAAAATGCAGTCCAAAGCTATAAAAGAAAAGTCTGTTTGAAAAAAAAAAACAACAACAAACAATCTACCACAGTTACCTTAAACAATAGGACGATTAATGGTGTCAAACATCTTGCAATAAGATACTTTTTTTCTTTTTCTTTTTTTTTTTAAATACGAAACAAGAGAGCGTTTTATGTCTTCGTCTTTTCGTATTTATTTTGTTCTGTTCATTTCTAAAAAGAAAATCCCTAAATCTAGCAAAGGAAAGTCGGGTCATTTTAGGAGTTCCTTTTTATGTTTACTCCATTTCTTCTTACCTTTTTTTTTTTTTTGTTTCACTTCGTTTTTGTGACAAGTTTAGATTGCAATCGCCCACATCGAATAAGCAATACCCACAGACTGCCGACAACCGTTTCCTATTCATGTCTTTCTTCTTTTTAAAGTGGAGGGATGTGCGTTTATTTGACAAGAACAAGAAATGCTGTTAAGGTTCCAATAAGAAAGTAAAGAGAAACAAAAGAGTTGGCTTCATTTGACAAATTGCCTTAAACTGTGTACAGCTCCACGTCAATAGTTTGTGACGTTCTCGTTGGAGGCAGGTGTAAAGGAGATTAGAAGTCATTGTCTACATCATGCTGTGGGTGCCGGCCTAGAGAACAGATTTAATTATCTATCTATCTATCTATCTATCTATCTATCTATCTATCTATCTATCTATGCCTGTTCGTTTTCTATTATCTATCTATCTATCTATCTATCTATCTATTTAGGTAGATATTGCCTTGCTCTTGGTTGAAACAGAATCTATCTATCTATCTATCTATCTATCTATCTATCTATCTATCTATGCATCTCGATCCTTTCTCTGTCATATATCTATCTAAGTAGGTATTGCCTAACTCTTGGTTGTAATAGATTCTATCTATCTATCTATCTATCTATCTATCTATCTATCTATCTTTTCTTTTTTTTTAAATGTATAACTGGTAATATTTTCTTCAGAAATATATTGCTGATAATAAGTTTTCTTTAAAAATTTAATTTCTTGGTAATAAATTTCACAAAGTATTTCTGGTATTAAGACCTATTTTTACACTTTCATAGTTTTTTGCCCCTAGGAGTAACAATTATCCATAGCTGGAACCCTAACACGTACTACCACCCCGCGTCAGGATGGTTCTGGGAATACCAGCAATTAAGGTGTCGTTACACGCTCCTCAAAACCTCCTGATCAGAGGTCTTGCCGTTCGACACAGGACGCGGATGTAGTTTATCTTGATACCCAGGACGCCACATGTGAAGGAAACACACGAAGAACTTGGTAAACCGAATGGGTAATTCCAAGGAGGATGAAATCCTGAGAGGTAAATGTGAATACTGAGCTAATATTTAATGAAAAACAGACCACTTTAAGGTACCATTACAATGATTTATTTCACCAAAATCCTTTATATATATATATATATATATATATATATATATATATATAGAGAGAGAGAGAGAGAGAGAGATAGATAGATAGATAGATAGATAGATAGATAGATAGATAGATAGATAGGTAAATATTAGAATGTGCAGCTTATTTATAATATCATAAAGAAGTAATTTATACAAAGAATTAATTAGCAATATTAATGTGATTAATGCGAAATCACTTCGCTAACAAGTCTTAAAGAGGGATTGACTTACCTTCAATTTTATGAATAATACGATCCTTATATTTCTGTTGTTGTCAGATGGAATTGGCGAGCCATGTACTTTTAACTATTTCAAATTGTCATCTTAGTTGCGAAATTCTTCCATCTGCTGGCAAAACACTAAGACAAAATATGTGTAGTATAGACCGAAAGATATTCTTTTAAATATGCTAATTATTGACTGTTATAATATTTTGTATTATTATCATTCAAGCGCAGATGGTACAACCAGACATAGAGTTTTAAGCTACCAAACCGTAGACACTCCACCAAACTCTCCTCGGACCCGGTCATACCGTGGACAATTTTATAAAAAAGGTAAAAACATATAACAATTATACCCGCATTCGCAAACTATGCCAATGAGAAATTAGCAATTATAACATTCCCGAACCCAAAAAATCATTTAAACCAAAAATCAGAAATTTGAAGCCCTTGCCCTCATATAAAAAATATTAAGTGAATATGAGGCAGGTTAAAAAAAAAATCTAAAAAAAAAAACACTGTTATCCCTTTAGACATGCTCCTATTCTCCTTAACAATTAAGGTACATATTTCCTTTCCATTTTACTGCATAAATTTACAACACACTCGCATTCCCGTTTCTTTCCGTTCTTTCTGCCATCTTCTTTTCCCCCTTTCCTTCCCATTACACCAAATATCCTGTCTTTCAATCATCATACACCTGGGTTTTTTTTAAAGATCATTCCTTGTGGGTTTTTTTTTTAAATAAAGCTTTAAATCGGTCATTTTAAAAGTATCGCCCGAAGAGACCGTCAAGTCGAAATTGTGGTCACGTATTTTAATTGTGGTCACGTATTTTAATTGTCCTCCTGGTTTTTAAACTTAAAAGCTCTACATGTTATTTTTATTTTCACTTAGTTTTTTTTTTCTCTCCCGTGTATTGAACCCTTTTTAATACTCCTGTTCCCTGGTCTGATTCAACCATTAACCTTTACATATAAATGGAACAAACCAATCCGAGGTGAATAAAAAAAAAAAAAAACAGACATATAGTAAAAGAAGAAAAGGTGAATTAACACTAGCTTGACGACACATAGGCAACGCGTACCTCGGCCAGTCATACTTGCTGAAGAACAAAGATCAACCAACATAGGTTTATACGAAAACATTTACTGATCTATATCTATAAAACATAGGTTTGCCCTGAACGTATAAATTATGTACAAAATAACCATAGATGAAGACAAAACATTGTGTACAAATCATTTAAATTTTAGCATTAAATAACCCATAGATGTTGATATATATATACGTTTTGCATAAAGACGACGAAGCTGAGCGATTTGGTTTTAAAGAATACACAGGAAATAATAGCAAGATGTCGGCTAAGAAGTTTAGACAGAAAATTGGACAAAGGTACAAGATGAACTAACATCTTGAACAAAAACTGTAAAAGAATGTAATAATTCGATCTTAATCTAAGAGTAACACAATTTAACTTAGCAATTTTACCGAAAATATCTGCATTAGCAAAAGCAAACGTTTTTTGTTATTAAATACGTGAAGGTTTGCAAAATTATAACAAGACAAGATAAAAATAATGGAGTTGGCAGAGAGGTTTCTCTCGATAGAGAAAATTGAGGTCATGTCCGAAACGATAACCATGTTAGTACACGGGTCTGCCGGAGTGGTAGTTTGAACTGGCACATAAAAAAGAGAAGGAAATAAATTGGTCATTATCGAATGATGGGCATTGGAAACGTTTTCGTTTTTTGCCGTTTTTTTTTTATTTTATTTTTTTTATTTTATTTTTTTTTATGTTTTTTTTTTTTTTTTTTTGCGTGACTTGACCAGAAGATGTTTAATAGGCATGAATTCGGTAACAAGACATTAGATTTCTTGTACTCAATATCTGGTTGAGTGCAGACAATATTGATGGACAAATAGAAAGTAAACAGATATGCGCTTATAACAACATGGTGACTTATGTGAACTTACAGGTGCGTGAATGTCGACTTACGTCGATTAACTTGTTCATATATAAGCATACATTCATAATTGAAGAAAAAAAGCCAATATGCGATAAATATATAGTTGTGGACAGTATTGTTCACCCCCCAATGAGTATTTGAATATTTTCTAAGGAAATGCGAATATTTTCATGTACTTAATGAATTTACCCAAAATAGTTGATTCAATATTTAGTGTTGAGTAATTAGTAAATTTCATATCGATCTATTATATTCATAGTTATAGATCTTTCAAACATTCTGTGCAGGCCTCCTGGGTATGACGATAAACTACATCAGCGTCCTGGGTATGGCGATAAACTACATCAGCGTCCTGTGTAAGACGATAAACTACACCCGCGTCCTGGGTAAGACGATAAACTACATCCGCGTCCTGGGTAAGACGATAAACTACATCCGCGTCCTGGGTAAGATGATAAACCTCATCCGCGTCCTGGGTATGACGATAAACTACATCCGTGCCCTGGGTATGGCAATAAATTATATCCAACAGCAAGGTCTCTGATAATACGTTCTGAAAAAAATAATGTTGCCAGCTTTACGATTTTGAAAAGATATTACCAGCTATAAGTTTGTTTTTTTTAAAGAATAGTGTTGTCGTCTATACGTTTTTGAAAAATAATGTTACCAGCTATACGTTTTTGGAAAAATAATATTACCAGCTATATGTTTTTGAAAAAATAATATTACCAGCTATACATTTATGAGAAAAAATATTAAACTTTTGACAAATCAAATGTATGACCAGGAAAAAAAGGTTGTCAGCATTAAATGACCCAATGAGGTTGATATGCCGTAAAACAGAACAAACCAAACCAATTTGTGTAGTTCAACATTATTCGACCCCATTATGTAAATTATGAAATAATATTACTCTATGGCAATTGTAATTATTTTTCTTAATTTGATATTTAATAAAAACACCCTTTGAAAATGTATTGACCTGATTCTATAACATTCTAAAAGTTAATGAGGAAGACAATATGTACCATGTACCACAATAACTCATTCATTCTGTAAACATGGCGACGATGGTGGAAGTTTGCATGAACCTCCGAATGACGGTAGTTGATGCATACAAACAAGATGATGGGTATACCACACTTTCCAAGAGTTTTCCTGGATCGACAATTAGTATCATTATCAAGAAGTACAATAAAATTCATTGCGTTTAGCATAAATGAAAGACTGTCATAAAACGGTTAATTTCTGAGAGAATGTAAAGGAAAATTCTTAGAGGTGTCTCAAATAATCCTCACTTAACGACAAAGGCCATTGTCAATGACTTAAAAAACATCAGGGTTGAATTTAATGACGAAGACAGTCACTAAATGTCTTAATCGAGCAGGAAAACTTAATCCCCTAAAATACATATTAGCTTATGCTAGAATCCATCTAGGAGTAAATATTGGGACTCCTTTTTATGGCCAGATGAAACAAAACTAGAATTATTTAGTCACATGAACTCACTTTACGTATGGAGGAAAGTGAATGAAACCATAAATACCTTCTCTACAATTTAGCAGAGTAGTGGGAGCACTCTTCTCTGGGATGTTTTGCTGCTTCTGGACCAGGAGAACTAGTGAGAGGACAGGATATCATGGATAAAGATGAGTACTTAGCTATTCTTAAAAATAGTATAAAAAATGTACACGAAATATGTCTTTAGGGAATCACTGGAGTTAACAACTTGGCAATGACCCGAAATATACGACACGAATTGTAAAAAAAATATAGATGAAAGCAAAATTAAGGTATTGGCGTAACTCGCCAAAGACCTGATTTAAACACCATTGAAAAGTGATGGGCACATTTGAAGAAAAAGTAAGCGAAAAAAAGTCCTTTAAATTGAAGAAAGTAGAAACTATTGCCAAGTAAGAATGAAGCAAAATACCTATTAGTTTGTATAGAAATCTTGTAATGAACAATCAAAAATGATGAAAAGTAATAAGCAAGAATAAAGGTTACATAACTGATTATTGGGGTAAGATAGCCCAAGAGTTTGTCATATATTAAATGTGCTTTTGATGTTTTTTGTATTATGGTTTGAAATTAAATAAAAATTTTGTTGTGGATATC